TTTAGACCACTGAGCCATCTCACCAGCCCTAAAAGTCTTATTACAGTGAAGGTCACGCTGCCCTCCGCCCCTCTCCAGCGCTCGCATCACTACACACACGTGCCCTGCGGCACGCCACTCCGAGGAGCGGCTCCCAAAGCTATCCTCCGTGCGTCTTCAGCTTCTCTGTTGTGGCTGCTTCAACGTCCTGAGTTGATTCAAAATGTGTCCCTTTCATAGTCACTGTGACTTTCAGGAAGAGTCAGACGTTGCACAGGGCCAGAACAGTGTGGATAATGTGGAGGAGGACTCACCATCGCATTTCCACTTGACAGAAACTGCCGCAAACATTTTGAATCAATTCAGGACATGAAGCAGCCACAAAAAGACACTCACAGGCCGGGGAGATGGCTCAGTAGAATAAGCGCTTGCCTGGTAAGCACAAGGGCTTGAGTTCAATCCCTGGTTCCGCAAAAAAAAAAAAAAAAAGAAAGACACTCGCGAGAGAGGAGCTCCGAACTGCCTCAGAAGATGGCAAGAACAGGAAACATGTCTGAAGCAATGGGGAGTATCATGTGAGAGATTAATGGCAATGCGGCTTTTACTGCAATAGTCTTTCCTTTATTTTTAGTTTAAAATTTGATGTATCTTTTAACAGATCTCACATGCAGCTCTGGTGTACAAGCTGGCATCCTATTTTTCTCATCAAAAGAGCAATAAAGTCATTTCTACTTTGGGAAAAATTTTTTTAAACTTTTGTAGTTACATATTCTAAACACACTATATTCTCTCAAAATAATGAAATAAATTATAGTTAGTTTTCCCTATCAGATAGAGGGACTAACATATCATTCACTGATAATCTTTCTGACTACTAAATAACCTCAGCTGAATAATATGGGTGAATATGAATTGTCATTCCATACAGATAAAAACTCATTTTCCAAACCTACAGTATGAGAATGAGAATGAGTATGGTATGCGATAAATTTTTACTGTCTCTTTTTTAAAAACAGGATCTCGCTATGCAGTGCAGTCTGGCTTTGAACTCACTATGTAGCCCAGGCTGGCCTTGAATTTGTGGTGATCTTCCTGCCTCAGCCTTCTGAGTGCTAGGATTAGACGGGTGCATGCACCACCATGCTCAGCTTTTTCACTTCTTAGCAAGCTCACAATTAGCCAAGGACACAATAGAATACAGAGATTTCATGAAAGAAAACCTGTGAACAATGAGACTACCCCATCTTCACCAGTCACAACCTGCCCTCCAACTATTTTTCATAGCTCCAGATGCACAAACTTGGGACTGAAGACCAGCATGGGTGTGCACACCACAAGGGCCGGGCTGTCAGGTACTGGCCCCCTCCACTTTCCTCCCTGCCCTGCACACTGCCCACCCCAGAAGGGCGCACGCTCACTAGGCCAGGCTTCTGTGAGTCACTCACACAGAGGATACCAGGAGCCCTGGCGAAGAGAAGGAGAGAAAGGCTGCCTCTTCCTACGCTTCCACACTCCCCACAGAAAGAGGCTATACACTGGATGCAAGTTTCAGGTGGAGCCTCAGAAGCCACAAGATGGGTAAGCAATCAGCTTTTCCTCTGCACCGAATGACAATTCACATCCATCTTACATTATAAAACACCAAGGATGGTATTTGTTATTTCAATAATCAGATTGATCACAACAGGGCAGTAAAAAGCTAATTAACTGAGTGCATGAAAGAGGTCAAGGAAACTACCGCACACACAGCTTCCATGTTCATCCTCTGAAATGGCAATGTCTCTGCGACAGCCAGGCAAAGGACACAACTGTATCAGGTGAAGAAGAAGGATTACAGGATGAAAATGCTTCTGCTGGAAGTGGTGAGGTGTACATTGCTTTTTTCTTAAAGAACAGCAGTTGTGGGCTAGCCAGACAGCTCAGCGAATTAAAGCACGTGCTTAGGCAGACACAGGGGCCAGGGGGTTCGATCCTGGGCATGCCTTGCCAGCCCCACCCCCATGGTACGCTGAGACGTCAATTGAGAATGCACGTGGTGGTGCAGGCCTGTAATCCCAGCACTTGGGAGGCTGAAAACAGGAGATCACTACAAGTCCAATCTACATAGTGAGACCCTGTAAACCCTCTACTAAATACAAAAAAAAAAAAAAAAAAAAAAAAAAGAGAGAGGAGAGGGGAAGGGGAGGGGGGAAGGAGGGGAGGAAGAAGAGGAGCAGCTGCAGCTAGTGATACAGCTCAGTGGCACAGTGCCTGTCTGGCAAGAGTGAGGTCATGAGTTTGATTCCTGATACCAAAAAAAAGATCCAAAGAAGAACAGTTGCTACTACTTCTGTGTAGTACTATAACTCCAACTGAAAAAGGTAATGTTGGCTGCAATGCTCCCTGGCTACCTGGTCAAATAAAGGGACAAGTGTCCTCTCCCCCCACTGACACCGAATTAATTGAATGTGTTGAGATTACTACTTGATGCAGTATCATTCAACATGGTGAGGACACAGCACATGCAAACACAGAGAGTCAATGACAGTTTGATAGTTTGGAATAACACCAGTAGTTGAAGGGAACATTTCCTTCTCAAACAAATGACAATGAGATTCATAAGCCAGACGGGAGCACTTACCTCCTTGGCTAAAACCTGCGAGTACTCGATATCCAGTTCGTACAGTGTTTCAATGTGGTCACTGGTAAAGGCTATTGGAACCAAAAGGATGTTCTTCCTTCCCCTCTCACAAAGCCCTTTGATGGCCTCATCTGTTTGAGGCCCCAACCAGGGTACCGGGCCAACCTATAAGAAAGACGAACATGTAAATGGAATATTGTGGCAATGTATCTACTCACCATTGCCTCCCAGCCCAGGAGACAGCCCCCTGCCCATTAGGGGCAAGAATCACTCTTACACATAGATGAATGGGTTTTGTATCACTGTATTGAGGTCAGAATCATTCTAGAGGTTAACCTAGTATAAATAACTAATACTTTCTACATCTAAAAGTAAAGTACTAAGCCAGTGGAATTCTACTAACCACCTGATTTTCCTTTCTATCTCACGTGCTTACAGAATTCTGTCTGTGAGCAATCAAGACTAAGGATTGAACCCAGGTCTTTACAGTGAGCTATATCCCTAGCCCTTTATTATCTTATTTTGATAGGTTCTCACTAAACTGTCCAGGCTACACTTGAACTGGTGATCCTTCTGCTTGTCTTCCGCAGTGCTATGGTCACAGGCATACACCATCTCTAAAACACTTTTTTAGAGTGTTACCGATGTGTAAAAGCCACCCACCTTGGACTGCCAAACCAGTCGGTAGGGGTTGGAGTAACCGAGCTTTTCCATGACCTTGTGGACAGTGGCGCCCACCTCCTGAGGGTAGGGGTCCCCTCTGTTGACCACCTGCAGCAGAAACAAAATGGTATTCAGTTGCCAACATCACAAAGGGCTCCAAGACCCTCTGTACTGTGACACGGGGTCTGCTGTTGGCCAAAGCCTTCCCAGTCTCCTGAACTCCTTATGAAATAGTCTGAGCAATGACGGAGCTCTCTTGGTTGCACTTCTTCCATGGCCAAAGAGAACACCATGCTCCACCATGTCCGAGGTCCCCAAGAAGACATAAAATTCTGGGCTCCACGTTGTTAGTACAGGACTGACAATGTCTGACAATAGAGGACGACTCCTTATATCCCCAGTCTCACAAAGGGAAACAATACCAAAAAAGTCAATATAGGCCAGAAGTATCCACCGTGATAGCACCGTGAGTGCAGGACTTCAAGCAGGAACTGCAAGCGGTCAGTGCGCACAATGTGTTGGAGCACCAAGAGCAGAGGAAGTTTATGGCAGACAGAAGCACAGTCAGAGGAGCAAGAAAGCACGTGGCTCAGATTCCAGGCTCTTCAAGAATAGGACCACGCCTTCTACTTCTTTTTTTCTCATCTGTACTTCTCACAACAAGGGGCAGCAGACAAGTGCTTTGTGCACAGTGAGTGTTTAACAACTCCCCTTGCTAGAACATGTCTTCCTAACAGGGTTTGTCAGTGCCTTGGAAAATGTTCAGTACATGTTTTTAACCATTTTAAAATTTCACTGTGTCTTGCATCCCTAATCCCCTTAGCCTGTTTTATTTTTCTATGAATCTATCATTTCCTGACCTATCACATTATCTTCTTATGTATTATACATATTATCTTTTCCTTATATTCTCCAGTGATGAATATTTTTGTCTGTTTTCTTCATTCCTGTTCCCCATGACAGAACAGTGTCAGGAATACATGGTAAAATATTCTTCTGGCCCGTTCCTGAGCATCCCTTCTGGTACCTCACGTCTTGTCACACACAGGGCAGACACGTGAAGGGACCTCCATGATACCAGAAAAGAGCATGATCTTGTAAAAATGAAGTAGGCAGGTTTCCACAAGAGAGAACTTTCTCTCCACAGCCACTGACTCATGAAGTGGCAACTGCCCGGCTGAGGTACAGGAAAGGAGCAACTGCACTGGTCTTGAGTCTTGTGGCCATGCAAAAAAAGGTTTGCCATTGACTGTGGACGTCCAATCTTAACTGCGCCTAAAACAGTGTAATTCTCCACCTCTCTGGCTTGGAAAGCAATGATTTTAGTACGCAAAGATAGTTCTGAACTAATGAAACTGGTTACTTTTTCTAAGACTCTATACATGTATTATACAGTATACTAGCTTGATCTTTTGGGGAGGAGGATGTAGGGAAAATGACCCTGTTCCCTACACATGCTACCCAAGTACTTTGCCACTGAGCTGTATACTTAGCCTCTAGTTTGACCATCTTCTTTCCAAAAAATGCAGCAGCCATGGCACTGTTTGTGCATATTAATGACCTCGTGCAACAGGATTGAGGAAGATAAAACTGGATCTCAACTTCATCACTAGACATCCATTGGCCAAATGGTGTCCCTAGTCTTGGTAATCAGAAACTATAATTATTTCCTAGAATTCAAATGGCTCCTGTCAAGTCTTGGGAACCCAAAAATAGGATAGAGAGTGCAGTTATGAACTAAGGCTGGCTACACAATTTCACACACTGAAATATCAGGCTGAGCTCCTTCGTCAGGGTGAGCACACACAACCTTCAGTGTCCTGTTTATTGGAAATTCTTCTATGTGAAAATACTGTATCTTCCAGTATCATTTTAAGGAGGGTTAAGAAGAGATCTGTTCACAATATTTTAATTTGGGCAATGAGAGGTTTCAAGAAGTGAGTCTAATTAAGCTAGCATCAAGTTAAATCAGCGGTTTTATGATTCATTCTTTTTTTTTTTTTTTT